GGCTTCCATTGCAGTTAGAAGCCTCCTTTTTAATCTGGGGTAGCTCTTCGAAATATGAATAACTACATAGTTTTCACTTGCCGGGAAATATGGGAAACCTCTGAAAAACTTTGGTCCATTTGAAATTTGTCGTAAAAACCTAATTTTTTTAGTCTGTCGCAGTATTAATAATTTAATAATGATGACATAATTTTCATATATTCCTTATAAATTATAATTATTTACTACTTTGATGGCTATTATATGTTTATATATAGGTATATGTACAGTACGAGGACGGTACACATGGAGGAGTCATGCCAATTTAGTAGACAAGTTTACCTGTTATTTACAAGGTCACAGCTCTTGTCAAAATCCATTACGTTTAAACACGTTTATTTATGTTTTTAGATCTAAATATCTCCAAAGATCACATAATATACCGTCCTCGTGTCCCTACATTTTATATGTATTCATGTGAATAGGATAAAGGTCATCTATATAATAGAAAACCGGTAAAATATATTAGTATGCGTAAAAAAGACGGGATGCTCCAAAATTTCGTCAAAATAGTCTCTAACCTCGTTCCTATTGGTCATAGAAGGTTTTTTTTAAATGTGAGTTTTTTGACCAGCTATCCTATGCTTGTAAGTGCAAGTCTGTAGCTTGAAAAAAATATAAAAGGTATTACAATTGTTTATAAGTAAAAAACATACCCCTTTTTTAAACGTTTATTTTATAAATAATTTCGATGAAAACGCAATATGCATTTAACTTCTGAGATAGTTGAAGTCTTAAAGAATCCTATGAAATTTGCTAAATGTGTCTATCATCATTAATAGAGCAAGTTTAATAGTTTAACTATTTAGCCTCCGGGATAAATAAATTAAATAACTTTTAAACTATTTTGAAGGATCGGGGGAAAATTTCGCACAAATGTAAAAGACGGTAATTCCTCCCTCGATGTTCAAATGTATTAAGAACACTTTATTTTGTTAATAAAAAAATTAATAAAATTTATAAATTAGTGCAAAAAACTACTTTTTTGCAAATATCTCCGTAAATTATTAATCAATTTTAATTTAAAAAACGGGAAAATAAAGATATTCTTGATATAAAAAATGATATAAATATTTATATTTTTAGACCACATTCCATATGACAAAGAGTAACATTGGTTGCCTAATGCACACGTCATTCTCTTACATATGACCTTTAACACCATGGGTAATTTCTTATCTTTTATATACAAAATTAAATAAATAAAAAATCTTTTAAATCCCATCATCTTGATTGCTGTTATTATTTTTAACATCATCAAAGTTTTTGAATCTTTTGGCTGTAGTAATACTACGTATAACTAATATAGTTTCATGTTGCATTGACATTTTGTTTTTAACATCGCTCATAGGTATCTTGTCAATCAGTTACCAGCTGTAGTCCGTTTGAAGAGGTTTACTCTCCGGACACTGAAACTCAAACCATGGGTGTATGTTACCTGAAGCCAAATTTAATTTAATATTAAACATTACATATTTTTAATAACATTATGTACAATCTTTTGTAACAGCATATATTTTAAAGGGTTTTTACCCTCATATTTTGGTGGCTCAGGCATCTGAACCTTGTAAGTATAACCATTTTTGCTTCTTAACCTTAGTCAAAATTTTAAACCACGTTTGTTTTAACTAAATGGTTTATACTTATTTTAGGTACTTTTTTAAACCTGATGATGGAATTATTATTCCGAAAACGTTTGTATTATTCGATGTAGCCCTTTTAACGGTTTTTAAATATACCCACATACAAAGATATAAATTCTTTTTTTTTGTGATACGTGGTATACAGCCAGCTACAGGAATTATTTTCCTTGTGGATTTTATATAAATATTTTTTTTTTTATTTAAACAAAAATGACCCTGCATCAACTACTAAGAGTTATTAGCAGGGGGTACAAACACAAAATTACAAGTATTTAATTTTTTACAAGGTATATATGTATAACTTAAATATGTTCTATTAAACACTGTAAATTTTAATGTCTTTCAAATATTTAAGCACTTTGTTGAACTGCCAGCTTAATAGATCCTTCAGGTTGGTAGAGAGGTTATTTTTTCTTCTTTCTTGGGTGTATGTTTTGCATTCTAACAGAATATGTTTCACAGTGATTTGGATCTTGCAGTTGTGGCAGAAAGGGATGGCTTCTTTATTTATTAAGTGAATATGGGTTGGTATAGTATGTCCTAATCGTAGTCGAGTTATTATCACTTGTTCACAACGTTTGAGTGGGAGTGGTAAGGTGGTGCCGACAGTTTCTATAACATCTTTTAATTTGTTGGATGTGGAATTCCAGTTACACTGCCATAAGTTGGTAATATGTTTTTTGATGGAGGTTTTATGGTCGTTTCTTGTTATCATGTGTGACACAGGGATGCTTTCATCTAGTGCAGCTTCATTCGCAAGTTGGTCCACTGCTTCATTTCCCTTGATTCCCACGTGTGATGGCACCCATAAAAAAGTTATTTCTATGTTTTTTGTTGATAGTAGTATGAGTTCATTTTTTATTAACATTATAATTTCATTTGATGGATACAATTGCCGTAAAGCTTTTAGTGTACTTAGTGAGTCAGATATTATAATATAATGAGGTGCGGATTTTCTTCTGCAAACTTTCAGTGCCTCTAAAATAGCCATTGCTTCTCCAGTAAATATGCTACAACTCGGAGGGAGTCGTATTTTAAAGTGGTCTGCTCCATGTATGTAAGCCGCTGCTAGTCCTGATTGAGTTTTTGATGCATCAGTGTAGATATGTTCAGAATTTGGATATAGGGATATTATTTCATGGTATGATTGATGTATTACTTTTGGGTTAGTGGATGTTTTGGGATAGCGAGTAAGGGATGTATTTACAATTGGTGGACTAGTTGACCAGGAGGGAAAGTTTTGGGTTGGATTTATGATGGCATTAAACTGCTCACAGTCGTAACCACTGAATTTGATTCTTTCATGAAAAGGGAGTATATTAATCGGTTTATTTTTGTAATTACTAATACATTTAGGTTTGAAAATATTTGAATGCATGGGATTTTGTTGATTTGATGATATACAAGTTGCATAATTTAGTGACAGTTGTTGCCTTCGTAAGTGTAAAGGTAGTTCGTTAGCTAATACTTGAAGGCTATTTGTTGGGCTAGTTCTAAATGCGCACAGAGCAATTCTTAGTGACGTTGTTTGAATTGAGTTTAGTTTTTTTAATGTAGTTTTTTTGGCAGTACCATAACATATTGAGCCGTAGTCTAATTTGCTACGTATAAGTGATTGGTATAAGTTTAATAGTGTTCTTGTATCTGCTCCCCATGTACGGTTTGAGAGAATTTTCAGGAGATTAATTCTAGGTTGGCATTGTTTTTGTAAGGTATGTATGTGGCTTTTCCAGTTTAGGGTGCAATCTAAAGTTAACCCCAGGCAGTTTATTTCATTTGTTTCTTTTAGAGTATGTCCATTTAAAGTTAGATTAACGTTCCTTATATTTTTCCGTTTGCTGAATATTATGTACTGTGTTTTTTCAGGAGAAAAGTTAAAACCAGTTTTAAGTGACCATTTTTCCAGCGTATGTAAGAATATCTGTATTACTTCAGCCGCACATTCCACACTTCTGCTCTTATGGTAGATAATCAAGTCGTCTGCGTATAAATTGGCTTTAATCGGTAATCTCATTTCGTCCAAGATGTTATTTATTGCAATCAGGAACAATGTTGGGCTTAAAATGGAGCCTTGCGGAATTCCATTTTCAAGAGAGCGTGGACTAGAGTTATAACCGTTAGCTCTTACTTCAATGTGCCTATTAGTTAAGAAATTTTGTATAAAAGTGTGACCCTCGATTTCAAATTTTTGTAGTGTTTTTAAGATGTTATATTTCCATGCAGTGTCGAAAGCTTTATTAATATCAATAAAGACAGCTAGTAATTTTTGATTGTGTAGAAATGCTTCATGGATTTCAGACTCAAGCGATACTAAGTTGTCGGTAGTGGATCTGCCTTTACGAAACCCACTTTGATAGGGGGATAATAACATTGAGTTTTCTAGGTGCCATACTAGTCTGTTATTTATAATCTTTTCCATTAGTTTACACATACTACATGTCAAGGAGATTGGACGATATGACGAGGGATCGTCTTTAGGTTTGTTGGGTTTAAGAATTGGGATGATAATTGCATGGCACCATATCTTGGGAAATATATTATTGACAAATATTGAGTTAAATAGTTCTAGGAGGATAAGTTTAGCTGATTTTGGAATATATATAAATATTGTTTATGTAAAATATAAGGTAAAAAACTTATAGACAAAAATTCAAATTGTGACCATAAATTATTGTTTAAAACAAAAGCAAGGCATCTATTAGTCATCTAGTAACCCCCATCTATGTCTTAAAAGCTTCAGATATCTGCGAAAAAATGTTCGACCTTTTTTTTAACCAGACTGGCTAATACGCCTATCCGTGTACTTGTCGGTTTTTTGACGCACTGCAAAGTACACGAATAAGTCGAATGCACGCCAAATGTATTTGTCGACTGCCCACGATAAAATAATAAATAATAAAAAATAAAGAATAACGATAGCGGTCTTTTAATCACTTTGTGTTTACACCACAAGTATTAGTAAAGTGTATTTAAGTATAAGTAAGTTGCAGCGACTTTCAATACGTTCACGTCCATTTTGGTTCTGCCAAACACACATGACACAAATATTTGGCATGTTGGAATAACAAATATTTGGGCGAATAGAGCGAAATAACAAATAACACATAGCGAAGTGTGGTACCGCCATGATAATTTGCTGTTTGATAATATTTGAATGAGCTGCAACTGGTATGGCTTTCGTGGCTTGTTTTATCTTTCCTTTGATATTAATTTTTGGTATAATCATTGTTTTTTATTTAGTTACCAAGCGGCAATGAAAAACAGTTGTTTTTTTATTCAATGAAAAACAGTTTTTTATGTATTTATTATTTTTTATAGAACTACGTAAAATGCTTCTCAGACCTAGAAATAATGGTGAGGTACAGAGTAGGTTGAACGCTCAAAATGAAAATAGTAAGAAAAAATCAGTGAACAAGAAGTGTCTTGATAATTTGAGTTCTACTGTGAGTAAAAATGAAAATGAAGCAAAAATCGACCGCTTCTTTGAAAATGCTGCATTTTATATTCCAAGCCTAGGTAGTAGAACTAATCCAAGTAAGCAAATATTACTTTTATTACATATTGAGGCCTATTCTTAAATATCATAACAAGGGAGTTGACATAAAATAAAATAATATAATATAAATAGGGCGAATAAAAGCAGAATTAAAAAAAGTGTTTCCTAAACAAGGAAACAGACAAGTTAAGTTAGGTCTCTTACAGACATCCGTTTTTTTCATCGGTCGACACATACGTTTACGAGCATCTATACATATCCATACTTTAGCGTAGCCCACTGCACCTTCTTACATCGGACATGCGCATCAGGCGAAGTGGTTCACCGGACAGGTATCCGGTGCATGTACTCATATTTATTATACATGATACAAATACAAACAGATAAGATACCGCGCATGTGGGCGTGGCTTATTCATGACTTTTGTGACGTCAACTTGTGCTAAATTTCGCCATATTGTGTTTTGACGTTTATGTACATTTACGATTCATAGCCAATATTTAATAAAATAATATTTTAAAAGTGTTACAAGGCTTTAAATTTTTCCCGATATGAGGTGTGCAGGGTATGGTTGTGCCGTTGACAATATGTGCAAGAGTTTTGTAACCGGTACAGCATTTTATAGCTTTCCAAAAGACAAGGAAATGCAAGCTGTTTGCAAACATTTGTGTAAACGCCAGGATAATTTTAATGTTAAATTTGCTCGTGTTTGCTCTAAGCACTTTGTTGAAAGTGATTGAAGTGCTGAATCGGTCATTCAGGTTGGCAAAATATAAAACAGAAGTCAACTAGTTTATATGTTTATAGAAGACGTTTCGCTTTATACTTCTAAAGCTTCATCAGTTCTAACTCAATATGTAGTATTAAAGATTTTATTATATATGTACTTAAGTTTACTGATTATTTAGAACTAACTTAAAAAAAAAACAGAAACAAAGGACACAAATACTTTGCAAAAAATAATATTCGCAGAAACGAAGATTTAACAAAATTTTAAACGTACATTTGGCTTCATTTAGAGATGGTTCTCCAATGAAGACAAACAAAACACTGGTGAGTGTTACTTTATTAATATATATATATATATATATATATATATATATATATATATATTTATATATATATATATTATATATATATATATAGTTGGAGATTAAATAATTATAACCATACTTTAGCATATCCTGAAGAAGCTAATAAATTTTTGTGAAAGCTAAATAAAAGAACAAAGAGTTTTACTTATTCTGCCCTATTAATGACTGCAACCTCAAAAGAAATAGTTTACCTATCGTGTCAGTCAATAATACCTAACTACTATATATAAAATATATATTGTATGAAAATCACATTCCATAGGTTGCAATTTGTGGCATTCGGCCATGGCTCCCTCCATCAAACTTCACTCTTATGGGAAAATTGTTATTTTTTACAATATACTAATTTAAATACTTAAGCTTAAATTGACGTAGTAAATAAAACATCTAGTAAATTATATTAGAATTTCAACAGTTCGTTTCATCCGCAAGCATGAATACATTTTGAAAATTTAGCATAAGGTGACGTCATGCGCGTGAGTGTACGAGTTTAGTGCGTGGCAATATAATATCTGGTATCCTTATATCATGTTTATTATAGAGTTATAACACTGTGAATCTAGTGAAAAGCGCGTTCCATTGTTCGGTAAAAATAACCGAAGTCTCTAGGAGCTCTAAGTATTAAGCGCGATCAAAATCATCAGAAATTTAAGGATAAGGCGAAGCATTAGTTGTTACAAGTGCGGTACTTTAAACGATAAATATACGAAATTTGTTTAAAAAAAGGGATTAATTTTATCGAAAAAAATATTATTTATTATTATTATATACAGATTTGGAATTTGTTTTGCGGAATATATGGATTTTTATAACAATACAATGATTAGCTGATTGGCAATTAACCAGTGTAACTTTCAATATAACGTCACGATGTTTTATAATTAATTAATTTGTTCGACTGGACTCCTTCTCCAGTCGATATTTTTCGACTGCTGCGCACGTTACCAAACGCAAACGATCATCGTATAATAAAATCTTGCATCTCTTCAAGCCGCTACTATAAAACCGAACACAGGTATAATTACACAGGTAATATTACGTAGATATGGAATTAAAATATTATTTTACTAAAAAAAATTGTTATATTTTATTGCCAAAATGGCATAAAAAGAGTAGATTTCTAAAAATTAAAATAAAAACGAATTCCAAAAATAACATAATAATAATATTAAAAACAAAAATTCAACGTAATAGAGGTTCAAATATTCCACCTATTTTTTGGGAGCAATAACCAAATCTATTGTACAAAGATAGTCTTGTATCCCTGAGCAGTTCCAGTCTAATGTTTTCACAAAGATGAATTATTTTGTCCCTCAATTCCGCTAAATTTCGGGCTCTTTTAAAACCATGCCTATAAACACTTGCCTATAAATATCCCCAAAGAAAAAATCATTTGGGGATAAGTCTGGTGATCTGGGAGGCCACTTTATCGTACCACGAGAAGAAATTAAATTATTTACAAAAATGGTTTCTAAATAATTTTGCTGCTCGTGTATTGTGAGCAGGACAGCCGTCTTGCTGAAACCAAATATCGTCAAAGTTGACAGGAAATAATTGAACTGCTGGAATAATTTGATTTTGCAACAATTCTAAATATTTATTTCCCGTTAAATTACCATCAATAAAAAATGGAACGACGATACAGTCCCCCAAAATATCTGTCCAAAAATTAAGTTTTTGGGGATACTGTGTTCGTACTGGAATAAAGTGTTTATTATGCCGAGATCAATATCCTACGACAGAAGGATTATGTTTTCGATGTACCGATAATTCATCGGTAAACAAAATGTTTTTTAAAAAATGTTCACTTTCATTTTGTTTATTCATCATCAGTTTACAAGATTCTATACGTTTGAAATTGTCCTCAGCTAATTACTCTTGAGTTGTTGAAACTTTAAAACAACGATAACCATTAGGTTTCAAAATATTCCTGATAGTCATATCATTCATGTAAACTTCTTCAGCAATAGTTTTGCTTGAACAAGGATCACTAGTTTCAGGAACACTACAAACATCAATTTCCCTATTTTGCCGAACTTCGTTGATTATTTTCTCTCGTGCTGGATCCGTACATTTTCTACAGATTTGTAAACAACAAAACGATTCAATTTTTTTAATAATACGACTAATGGTTGATTTTGTCGGTATTGGCCTATCTTCATAGACACAAGTAAATAAATTTATACAATCACGGTACGAGTTGCCCCCAAAATACCATTTTAAAATTTGTACTTTTTCTTCGTTTGTATACATGGTTTATAGTTAGAAACACTACTTTCATTTCAGCTTATGGCGTTATAATGAGAAGCAAAGGGCATAGGTTTGTTTTGCTCGGTCAGTGATGTTCCTTGGGACTGTTGCCAAATCGGTAGATACCTTCAACAAAAATCTGTAGATTTTGATGTATCATATACATCCTTTTAAACTTTAAATTATCAACAATATTTGGAATAATAAATGTATTAAACTATACACTAACCAATTCAAATAATATCTAATAACCAAAAAAGATGTGATTAATAAAGCATTGTTATTATCTGTACAAAACACAGAAAATCAGTGGACGATAGTGTAGACGTACGCCTGCCGAATACGCTACTACAAATCGCGAAGGAGCAGCAATCCAGTGGAACAAACATATTATTTATGAAACATCGCGACGTTGTATTGAAATTTACACTGGGTAATTGCAAATCAGGGCATCTCACTAATTGTATTAAAAATCCCTATGTTCCGTCTTAAACTTTCCAAATGTGTATATATAATATATATAATTATATATATATATATATATATATATATATATATATATATATATATATATATATATATATATAATATATATTATTATACAACTAACGAAATTTGCGGCAATATGCAAAAATTGCATACGAAAGCTGCATTGTTTACCTTTAAAACCGATTTTGATTTTTGTTGATATGACTCGTTGATCAAAAGATGTCAAATTTTTACCGCTGAGGTTATACAAATTTTATTTGAAAAATTAATATCGCGCGCGTAGCTGACATTAGAAATCGCCGGTAGGTACAAGCGTTGTTTCTGAGAGAACATTCTACAGAAAAAGTGCTAAACTACATTCATTTTAAATTTTCCCAACTGTCAACAAACGCACGTGAAAGCCAAACAGGGTCGTACTGAGGTGTATCATATGATTTTTATAAATATTTACTTTTGAAACTATTAGTGTAAGAATTTCTTGAAATTTATTTGTGAGCAATAAATATTTTATTTGAGTTTCATTTAGTTAATGTTCCATTTTTCTTCAATGGAACATTAACTAAATGAAACTCCAATAAAATATTTATTAACAGAGATACATAACAAAGCGAACATTTTGAATAAAGTAGTATTGTCATAAGTCTATCGATGTATAAAAACGTGCTATTTAAATTACTCGTTAGTCTGAGGAGCTACATGTGCTGCTGTCTTCGTCTGAATTTATTATTATGGGTTCGATATGGTTTTCTATTATATTATCCAACTTCCACATTTTGGACTCGACTTTTTGTTGAACGTGTTTTCACACACTTCTACCACATAGTTGCAGACTAGTATTATTTATTGCATCACAAAAAATATTTTTCATATCTGCAAATTTAAAAGTAGTGTTTTTGGCTGCTACATAATTTTTTACTTCTGCCCAGATGAGCTCAATCCGATTGAGCTCACAATGGTATGGGGGCAGCCTTAACACTACTTTGTTTTGGCTTTTTGCCATCTCATCAATGATATATTTATTATATTGTCCCTTATGTTCCTTAACGACAGCCAGCAGTTGCACTTTTAAAATGGAGTCCTCAAACCCTGTATTTTTTTATTTCAGCCTCGCTTGGATTTCAGCTTTTCTAGAAGCAGTAGTTGGAATTTTTTCCAATTTTCTCGAATGATAAGACGCGTTGTCCAATACGATGATGGAGTTGTCT